CCTTCTGTCCCCAGGCCTACCCACGTGTGCGACCTCGGACCTGGAGATAAGCTTGGGGAGTCAAATGCTTCTCAAGATTGCAGCACAGATTCCCTGCCTCCTGCGTTCTAGCCTCGATACACAAAATGAGATGTGCTTGTCTTCCTTTAACAAAATCTGGTTTAATTCTGTTTTTCTGAAGAGTGAAATATAGCACTTGTTTTGAGATCTGACAACACATTAAGTGTTCAGCAATTGCAAGTTGAAACCAGGTCTTACATCTCAGTTTGTTGGGAGAGTAGCATCATTGTCTGCAAAAGGTATTCCACCATTGTTTTCCCTGCTTTGTTGTTATACTGAGGATAGAATATTTCTTTACGGCTCTTGGACCTTATTTCATGCCTAGTCCATACACACTTGTAAGTATGAATTTTGGGGCAGTGTCTGCTGGCTCTTTGATGGCAGCTCAAATGAACATGTGGTGCCCTAAATGACTTGTTTTGCTCCCTTAGTACCTGTGATCTCTAACACACACACTCCCTCTTTCGATGTTTCTTTTGTCTAGTTCTACATTTCTCATTTCGCCTTGGTGCTGTCACTGCATGTACCTTGCAACTGCTTAACTGGGAGCAACTGAGGCTGGCTGGAAGGGCCTGGAGGCAAGGGCTTTATATTCCAAAGGCTTCACTGTGCACTTGCAACATCACTCCAATCAATGTTGTTTGAATTAATACTTTTTTTTTTTTTTTTTTTTCCACAAATTCCTTGGCTTGAGCACAGGAAGATCAGCAAGAAGGGAGGAACACTTCTGAAACCCAGCAGGCAATGCTCTCTGGATGTGTGTGTACATTGCAAAGTCATCAGTCATTCAGTTGTTTACTCAGTTATTCTGGTTTTCCAGAGTGCTTGTTCCCTGCTGAGTTATAGGCACAGATGGTAAAAGTAAACTTTGCACTTTTCAGAGTGTAGTCCTTTCCCAGATTTTATTTGTTGCCATCTTTTGTGGTTTGGTTTGACTTTTAATTTCCTTGGGGATGCTCTACAGATGGAGAAGGTAGTGCTCAAAGGGTGAATTTTGCCCTGATTTCTCAAAATTACTTCTGATGGGAACAGTAGCGTTCATCTCTTCCTTTGTGTTGTCTCTGACGGCCAGAGACATGAAGCTTCTTCTGGAAAGCAACACAGTCTGGAGAAAAAGCTTTAGCTGGTGCTTTTCTGGAATGTAGAGATGTGGGATGGGTGCTCAGTGGGGTCTCTGAGCACAAATAGAGCTGTGTGAGACTGGCTAGAAGTGCAGTGGGAAGGCAGAAAAAAAAGCTTATTGCTTGTAATTATAAAAGGCAGTTGTCAAGTTGGGAAAAGTGATCTGCAAGTTATTGTGACTCTTGTTCTGGATGTACGGGATTTTGCTAAGGTGGGAGAGGCCAAGAAACCCCAACCCCTATCTGGAGGCTCCAGTAGTTAATACAGCATCCCAGACATCATCTGGACTGCATTAAAGTATGACTGCATCTGGTTATCCCCTCGCTGGACTTGGAAATGGGCTGTTTGCTTGTCTGATGTACTTACAGCCTGTGCATAGGGTTTGTCTACTTCACATGCTCGCTCTGCAATTCGTAAAGGGATTTTTATAGCTCGTTAAAGTCCATTTAAAATTGTTTTAAGCTTTTAAGTTTGTATTGAGCGCTTTGTGGGAGGGACTGTCAGTTGGCTCCTGAGGAGACAGTGTTTAGTGAGAGGGAAAGGGAAGACAAACCTCTTTGTCGGAGCTCGGTGTGTCCCCCTTAACAGGTGCTGGCCTAACCCAGAAAGGCTGCCAGGTGCTTTGGAAGAGGTGGGAGGCATTTACTGGGATTGTCTTTTCCTCCAGAGCAGTGGCAGTCAAGCAGTGGGAAGGACTGCTGGTGGGTTCATGTGCTTGGGGATACAAAGCATCTCTGTGCGTAGGGGATGGACGGCTGAGTTAATGCAACAACTTCTAGACACTGAGTGTGATCAACATTTGATTTTACAAATATATGTAGTAGTTCTTGGGTGTGTTGAGATTAATTAGGATTATTTGTCCTAAAAGACTGAGATTTTTACTGTAGTAATAATAATCACAGTATTTCTGCATAGATAAAATGCTGCTATATCTGCATTTTCAAAATGCAGTGGAAGATATTTATTGTCTGGGGGTTGGTTGGTATAACTACAAAGGTATTAGTAAAGTTAGGAAACACCCCACCCCCTCCCCCCCGTAATAGGAGTGCTCTGTGTGTGTATTCATTGCTGTTATTCTTTACTATTTTCTTTAAAACAGTAAATGCATACATTATTGCACAGCCAGTTCATTCTCGGGTCACTTCTTAGGCTATAAGATGTTGCTTCTTGTAAACCTTGTACCTTGAAAAGAGACAGCAAACATAAGATGGACTCTCTTTAAAATCTAAAATTAATGATGATGTTTTGTTTTTTTTTTCTTGTGAGTCAGATAATGCTTGCTGAATGTCTGCCTGTGACCTCTGAACTTTACAAAAAGTGCACTTATTTCTGCATAGCGTGGTGGGAGTGTAGATTGACAGACAGTGCTCTGAGCGTGTTAGTGAGGTTCCTACATATCTGTGAGGGAACCTGAACCACTTGATTTAAGTTGAAGAATTTGGAATTTAAAGCAAGCTTCTCCTGCCTGTCAGCAATAAAGATCTGTCTGCTCTAGGAAGAGTATTTGTGGGCAGAGTATTCCGCATCTTCCCTTGCTTACCCCCTTGCTCCCAGTCTCATCAAGTGGAGCTGTCAGTGATTAAACTATGGCATATGCTAAGAGTGACAGCAAGAGAGTGCTAAAGGCTAAGGCAAACTTTTGGAGGTGCCTTGTCATTCAGAACAGTGGGAGAAATATTGAAGCTATTTTGGCTGAACACCACAATTTCGTATTACCAGTTCCCTGCCAAAAACGTGAGGCCGCTTTGCTGAGCAGGCAGCGCCTGCGTGCCGCGTTGCAGGAGCCGCGGCTGTGCATCACACGGGTCATCAATCCTGCGCTGGTTCTTCCAGCTCCCACAGAGGTGCTCTTGGAAGAGCAAGTGATGAGAAAGAAAGAGCAAAGTCAGTCTGTGCCGTGTGTGTGCAGCGTGAAATGGGAGAGACGCCTTGGCCAAGCTGGTGCTGGCTGGACACCAGGCGCAGCCTCTGGTGTGCAGGACTAGATGGGGCTGGTGCGCTGCCTTTCCCAGCCAAGACTTCTGTTGTCAGGTCAGACTTAGAAATATTTCCAGCTCCCAGGTGGGATGACCCAGGCATGAACTTTCGACTGCAGCGATAAACCTCTTTGCACAAAAGGAACGTGATGCTATGCACACTTATTCCAGGGAGAAAGCCGCAGAGGAGTGCATGAGCTAAGGAGTGCCTGATCTGGGAGAGCAGAAGATGTAGAAATGCTCCATCTATTTTCAACAGGCAAAATAACTCTTTTCACTAGAATAAATAAAAGGGCAGAAAGGAGGCTTTGAATTCCTTAGGGAACTTGTAGGGTTCCCAGGGATGCTGAGTTTGAAGCACTGCATTTTAATACCAAGTTTTGTCCCCATCTTTGACTCCAGTGTGGTCCTGTATGTCGTGTGTCCTCTGTGAAGCTTGAGTTAGCTGTTTATATTTCACCCTTTTTCAAGCAGTGTGGTTTTGAGGCTAAAACTCTGTTACCCTGTTCGGGGCTTTAGGACACAGAGTAAGGAGGAAAATTTGGAAACATGAATGGTATGAAGCATCAAAATGTTGCAACCTGGGAGTCAAAGCTAATCAACATTACCTTGAGTTTTCTCTGTGGATGAAGAGGCTTATACTGAGATTCTTAACTCCAGTCCCAACCACACTTGTGAATTTAAGAGCTCAGGGCAAAACTTCTTGCATGGATGGCTAAATCAGGGTCTTACGCACGTTACTGATGACTGTTGGATGTTTTTCACTGTGCTATTTATACCATTCACACATGCTGCTCATTCTGCATTGTGAACTGCTTTGTGTCTTCAATTTAAGTCTTCACATATACCTCTGAGATGTCACGCAGAGTTGAATCTCAGCACTCTAAAGGCTGTGACGTTTCTCTTCATAACTGCAGGATGAGGACTAAAGCTTGTTTCAGTGATGAGAAAGAGGGTTGCCCTTAAAAACTACTTAGGGAAGAGACTTACAATTGGTCTGGTTCAGGCTGAACTGTTTGGAAGCTTCATATATAGCTTTAAAAAGTCTTGGAAGTAAGAGATTAAATACAGGTAGAAGCTGATGATCTGCTCTGAAGTCAACAAGAGCTGGTCCAGTGACTTCAGGGATGACAGCCCATCCATTGGGACAGAGTCTTGGTTTGTTAGTTTGTTAATAACTCAAAATTATCCACTGGTAATGAAGAAAAGACACTGTCTGTTAATTATATGGGGAAATAAAGGCTTACTGTGTGCGAATCTTCTTCAGTAACAGCTGATGTGTCTGTGTAATGTCTTAGAAGACCTGAAATATTGGCTTTTGGTTGTTTTCAATCAAAGTTTCTTTTAGCTTTTCGCAATGAGCAGGAAAATCAAAGCAGGGATCAACTAAGGCTGATGCTTGGCTTTGACTGGCTTGGTGTAAAGGCAGGGCCAGGACTATAGTTCCCCATATTACCAGTGTCCTCCAGCTGGTGCAAACCCTTCTGCTGAGCCTGGGAACAACATTAAGGGTCCCAGAGTGAGTCAGAAGGCATCGTGTCTGTGCTGCCATAGGCCTGTGGGCTTTGAGTTTGGCTTTGTGCACATGGCTTTTGTCTTGGGCTGTTCTCCACTGGGGCCTGAGGGAAGAAGAGCAAAGTACCCTTTCCAAGGAAAGGGCCTCTCTGTGAATTTGGGAATTGTCTTTTCTCTTCCTGCCTCTGTATCATTGCCTGTATGTTGTGTGTAATGATATTTCCTTGCCTTTTGAACTTTTTTTTTCCTATTCCTGCTGATAGGAGTGCATTTAGTAGAAACTTCTTGTGATATAAATTGATTTTTTGTTGTTGTTGTTGTTAATAGGTATATTGCAGTGAATCTGAAAGTGATATAAGAAAGAATTGCTCCTGGGAAGAGAAGCCTCCCTGCAAGACCAACCCTGAAGATGTGGACTGCCATTGTATTCTTCCTGCTGATTTCCTTCTGTATATGTGAACACAGGTTTTCTGTCCTGAAAGGGAGAGGAGTCCATGTAGTGCAGATAAACAGGCTTACAACTGAAAAGCAGTGCAGGCAGGCTTGTCAAGGCCCAGCTGCTTCAGGTGAGATTCTTGTCCCTTAGCTGGGATTCCAGCTGGGTTTTCTGTTCCTTAATGGTCTCCTCTGCTCCCCTGCCAACTATCCTTCTTAATTCCAGTTGTTTACAGGCATTTACAGTTACGGCTTCTCTGAGCAGCCCTGTGGTGCTAAATAACTTCTGACAGCCTTGGTTAAATTGAATCCAGAACAACAATTTCCCAGGGCCCTTCTAGCTTCCGTAACAAACAGCATGCATGTGCTCTTGGTGTGCACTGGTAGCGTGCAGTGTTAGGTCACTTGACTTGAAGAATGATAATTCCATGCTGCCAGATGTTTGCAAGTGAACGGTGCTGCTGTAGACAGCTGCACTGGAACGAGTAGTCTTTGCTCACTGGCATTTATGTGTGGGGTTTTTTTCCTGCCTTAGAAGAAACCAGTTGTATCCTGCAACCAAGCACAGGGTTAAACAAGTCTGGGGAGATAAGAGCCTTCTGCTGTTTACCTCTGAGATGTCTTTAAAAGTGTTAAACTTCTAAATGAGTCTCAGAGTTGTTCTTATGAAGGACCCTATTTTATCCAGCCACATGTGAAAGCTTTACCTATAAACAACTGGTGATGCTGTGGTGAAGGTGAGACCTTGCCTCAGGTGACAAGCAGATTGACATCATGAATACGCCTTTTTTAATGCTTAATGTTTTCACACTTTTATTTTAAACATCAGATATCCCTTCACAGTGGAAAGAAAGCACCTTTATAAACTAAGCATTTTATTTAGCAGGTAAAATATGAGTGGGTTTGTCTCCCAGGCACCACAGCTGTGAAAACTTAAGCTTCTGCTTTTTAAGGTGGTAAACCCTGGAGAGATGATACATTCACGTGGTGGTGCTGATACTTTGGGTCTATAGCACTGCATGTTGGTTCCACCTGAGAATCTCTAAACACTGTGCACGTGTCATCTTAACCTCCTGATAACTTGATAAGGGTAGAAAAGGTGCTTCTTCCAGAGGTGGGACATAAGGACTTCAGTTAGTATGTGATCCGGGCTGGGAGATGAACTGAGTGTATGCTTCATCTTGTTGCTGATTTCAGCCACTTTTTATATAACTATCACCTTGTCTTTCCTGATGTGTTTTGTACAGAGCAAGTCCAGTTGGGTGTTAGCTTTGTTGGGCAGAGGGGGTTGAGCCTCTAGAATTAGGTGACCCGTTCCATCTTCAGGAAACCACACAAAACTAAACCCAAAAACATAAACCTTTTCAGATTTTACATTCCATATTAAACTTACTGAAGCAATTTCGTTCCTGTTTGTCCTTGATGGCCAGTGTGTTGCACTACCTGGTGTCAGAGGAGATGGAAAAGATACAAGCTCTTGACAATAAATGTATAGCCATGTGCAGAGAGATTATCTAGAGAGAAGGACCTGAAGTGTCTTTTTTTTGTTATTGGCTTTAGGTTTTAAGATAAGCTTTATTGCTCTCATTCTCCATTCCCAACTTCCCCAAGTATATTTATTTTTGTTCTTTCTTTCACTACAGATGTGAGGCCCAAGGCTTAGATGTCAGAATAGTTACACGTATGTAACTGTCAGTACAGGAGTAGTGGTTGTTATTTTTTAAGGTATTATAGTGTTAACTTGCAGGCCAAGGTTGCATGGGGACACATCTTCATAACTACATTGCTTGGATAAGTACAAAAATTACATTCCTAGATGGTCAGGATCTCTTCTGTAGATGTAATTTATACCCCTGCTGGCATAACATTACTAACTTAGAGAAGTAGGGCAACTATCATGAAAAGAACTGGTTTTGCCAGTACGTTCACATCTTGGATGTGCCTTGCAGAAAAGGGAATGGTTGCTGGTCTAGCTGATCCAGCATCACCTTCGAATATCCACCCCAGAGGCCAGGACATGTAGTTAGAGAACTATCAGCAAAGTTTGTACCAATGTCATGAGACAGTTTGACACTTGAATCACATGCTAATAAAAGCAGCAAAACTCTAGGGCTGACAGCATGGGTAGTAACTAACCTCCATATGTTGTCTAATGCAACGGGATCAAGTGTCCAGATGCTCTAGGGTAAGTGATATACATGATGGAGAAAGCACCCATCTGAGCAAAGATCTGGCAATCTGGGATTCCCAGATGTCTAGAGAGCACAGCAAACCTGTGTTGGGAGATCAGATAAGCTCGTGCTCTTCCCTTTGCATCCCCAGCCATATTCAGACCTCTCCCAGCTTTCTTCTGTGGTGGCCTGTCCAGGGTTGGAGAGAAACATCTTGGCCAACTGAGGACAGAGCCACTTGTCCTTCCTTCTGGGTTATCTTGCATGCTCTGGGGAAAATAAAGGGAAAATATGACATGACTGCAAGAGCAAATATTCCTGCTCCCTATTGCCACAATACATCTGCTTACCTGGCTTCTGCTTGCTTTTGGGCAGCTGCAATTTCTTTCCAGTAACAGCAGGTTTAAAAATTAAATGAACCAGTTTGGTAGGGCAAGACCTTGGTGTCTGCCTGCATGGTTTCCTTTCAAAATAGCTCTGAAGAGCTTTTGTTTTCCTTCCACTTTCTGGGCTTTTTAAAATTTTTAAATTTTTTTTTTTTTCTGTCTCCTGGTTGGAAGTGAGCAAAAGGGAGCCACTGGATAGCATGTATCTTGCAGTGGCCCCAGCAGCTGGAGCCTCAGTCCGGGGATGCATCAAAGGGAGTGCTAATCAGTACTAATCAGCCCAGCTCTGCGAAGGTATCTGGTTGTCCTGGGGAGTGACGGGGAAGTCATGAGCAGCTGGACACCATCCATGGCAGCAGAAACCAGAGTGCTTGAACCATGCTGACCCCGTTAGTCTCTTGACCTTTCCTAACTGACTGACTTGGATACCTAGCCAATGCAAGATATGCTGCTGTTTTTTTGTTTTCCCCTTCCCAAGAACTGAGAAGTGTCACAATTTACAGCAGTAGATGGACTATGTTTCTCCACTAGCATGGCTTATTGAACAAGGGAAAAGGAGTGGGACTGGGTATCAGGGCACATCCAAGCGTGCTTTCATTTCTGAGAAGTAGATTTTAATTTCTTGAAGGGCTGCTGCTGCTGCATCTCCTGCTCTGTGTGATTGTTGAAGCTTTCACTGTGTCGCTTTTTAAGTACCCTTTTTGTTAAAGGCTTTGAATGGTTTCAGTCCCTTTCTTAACACTTTATCAAAGTCAGTAAAATTCTGTCTTTGCTAGTTTCTTTAGGCTGTCCAAATAGACTGCAGTTGTTGGTACAAGGATTTATCCAAGTTCATAATTTTTCCACAAGCCCTTTTAATAACTGTGGTAATGTAAAGGTTTTTTATGAAAAGTTCAAGCTTCCCATAGCCTTCATGCTCAGTTAGGGTAAATCTTTGTAGATAAGAGCTTTAAATATAGCCGTATGTACCACATAGGCACGTTCTTTGCCCTTTCTCACACTTTTAACAAGATACAGAAATTAATTTCTGCTACTGCATACTTAAGTTCCCTTTAATTCCCCCGATGGGTGGTCAGTTGGGCACACATCTGCTTCATCCCAGACGGAGCACTGTGTTATCTTCTTCCATTACACATGTCCCGGAAATTAATGCATGTTACTGTGATATTACATAAAATTATAGCATAATTTAGGAAGGAAAGAAACTTTTGAAGGTCTCTGGTCTGAAGACAAGCATAGGTAGGCTGCAGCTGCTATATTGATTTCAACAGCCTTCCAGTCATTTTCATTATGGCTGAGTCAGGATCCTTTAAGGCCAGACCTTCCAGCTATCATTTGGGGTTTTGGTTGTTTTTTGGTTGGGTTTTTTTTTTTTTTTTTAATTCTTTGATTACAGCCATGAAGCAGTGTGCTCAGTATACCGTGTAATGACCCATTTTCTGTGCTGTTTTCAGGTGACCATCACTGTAACAGGGCTGTGCCCTACCAGAATCACTGCATCCTCTTGCAGTGTCACCAGCTGAGTGTGTGCCAGAATGCCAGAGAGCAAGACATCAGAGATCTGCTTGGAGGTAACGCCATGCTTCAGGCTCCTGCTAAATCCAGGATCATGGCCCTTTTACTTTAAATACCTACATATAGACCTTGGCTGGCTTTCAGCTGAGGGAGGTGGGTAGTGAAATGCCAGCAGGAGGATGCTGTAGGTAAAGTCAGTGCACTGGAAAAACTTTCACTAGCCTGGTAAGGGCTCTGGCACTTGTATCTGCATGATGTGCCTTTGAGTAACTTGTGTAACTGTTACTGAGAAACAGTTTGTCTCCATGTTGAAGACATCATTCATTCAAGCCATTTGTGCTACACACATTGGTCCTTTAGAAAATAAAGGCATAACAGATGTATTTATATTTTTTAAGGGAAAGAAAAATGGCTTGGCATTGTTTTTTCTGAGATTGCCAAGGTTTTGTGCCAGAGGTAGCAGGCTGCTTCTATAATCAGAGCAGCATTAGCAGCAATTGCTCATGATGACTTTCCAGTGCCAAGGCCTTCAATTTTAATCAAGTGACACAATAAAAAAACAGAGCTTGTTGGTAATTGGGGAATCAGTCTTCTAAAGTATGTTTAAAGAGTTGTCTCTACCCAAGTTTAAAAAAAATAAAGTTTGTTCATGGTTCTTTTGGGTTGGCAAAGGTTTCTCTGCAACGCAGCAACCAGACCTTTGATAAGCAGATGGAATTTATGTCACTATAAATCTAGATCACTAGTTGTGAAGGAAATTCTCCCAAATTATGAAGGTGTAAGTGGAAATTTCCACTCAGTTTTGAGAGGTGAAAATTATGAATCTGAGCATGAAGGCTTTGTTGATGCTGTGTAACTTCGAAAGCATGAGTTGCCTTCTCAGGAGCTGGCATTTCTAATGTTGCTTCTGTTGATAATGTACTTCTGTGTTGTAGCTCTGTACTTCATTACCTCTCTTGTGGAATTAATCACCTTATTGGGCAAATGCTGGAGAAAAAAAAAAACAAAAAAAACCAACCCAACCAAACAAAAAAAACCCCAGAGAGATTATCTGCAATAAAGGCAGGGGTCTGAGTTTTCACGTTCTTGCTGACTTCATGACCAATTTATTCCAGTTGTACTACATGTACTGCAGAATATATGTTCTTGTTTGCATGTTAGGGGTATGAGATTAGATCTGAGCTTGAGAGTTTTATTCTTATGAAACTCATTGGTTTTGTCTTTTTGAAGAGATTGTCAGTGGGAAAAGGGAAACAGTCCTGTTTCACCACCAAAGCTATCCGCAGAAAAAGGAGAGGATGGTGAATGGTCGGGTCAATGGACACAACGTGGAAAACCTGTTTTCCTCAACTGCTCTGACTCGCAAGATTCATTTGAGGCATTTGCTTGAGGTTGACAGTGAAGATATAACAAAAAATAGAACAAAACCAATTGCAAGCAATGCTACCACCCCCTCAGCAACCACCCCCACAGCGACCACCACCACTGCCACAGCCATAACAACAAACATTACAAATGCATCTGTCCTCACTACAGCTTATGTAACAACTGCCAAAGCCTCAAACGTCTCTGGAGGTTCTGGTCTCCTTGCTGAAGCCATGTCACCCACTGCCTCTTCTCCCACTTCTGGGAACATCCCTGCTTCCACTTCCAGCCATGTCACCAAGCTCGTGACCACCACTGAAGAATCAGGAAATAGTAGTTCTGTCTCAGTATTGTCCCCCACTTCTACTTCTGCTGCCTTCAGTGTCGTTTCTGAAGCAGGTACTCAGATGCCTCAGAGAGAGCAGCTGAACACCAGCACTCCCCGCTCTAGTAGCCCCACCACTGTTGGAGCTGGCCCAAAGATGCTGAGCCCAACACTGACCACGCTCGTGGCGCAGGATGCAGGAGTGCCTTCCTCTGCTTCCACTCGTGCCACAGCACTCACCCCCTTGGAGAGTTCACACTCTGCGAATCCACTGACTGTCGTTACGTTTCTACATCTAGAGCCAGAAGCAAGTACAGTCACAACATCCTTGAGTAAATCAACTTCTCTTCTGGGCTCTACAAGAGGTGCCGTGGTTTTGACTACTGCCTCTACAGCAGAAACTACAACTGAGCATGGGATAGAGTCGACGTCTCACATTTTTTCAACAACCACGACTCCAGCAGATGCACCCAAAACAGCAACTTCAGGCCTTGCAGAAACTCAGGACATGGACAATGAATATCTTCTCATTGCTGCTGAGCCCCTGACTCAGTACTTGGTGGATAAAAGTTCGCTTCTTGCAGTGCTTTTAGTTGGTACGGTTTTCTTCATAACTGTTATAGTTCTTTTCCTTATGCAGGCCTATGAAAGCTACAAGAAGAAGGATTACACACAAGTGGATTACCTGATCAATGGAATGTATGTGGACTCAGAGATGTGAAAGGGTGGGGATAAAACAGTGGGCAGAGAGATGGAAAGCAGATTGAAAGCCTGCCTGACTTGTTTTTCTTTCCTATTTGCCTATAACACAAACTGAAAGTGCTTCCAAATTTACTTCTAGTGCAATTGAGGAGAAATGCCATGTACTGTATTGAAAAAATAATAATAATTTTTATTCAACGATGCAATAGGTTGCTGTTTAAAAAAAAAAAAGTCATTTTTAAAACTTCCATGCATAATGCACAATAGCTTTGGCCATTATTTTTGATTGCAAAACAAACCTAACAAGGGGTAAGCCATCATCCTTGGAAAATGCTGTGGCCCTTTTTCAGCTGTTTACAATGCAAGTTCCTTGTGTTTCATTTGTTTCACACGTGCTCTTCTGAAAGCAGAGCAAAGGATGCTCTCACCTTCTGCAGAGTGCTCTGACACCACCAGATGAGAAGTGTGGAGTATTGCTGCAACAGGGAACTTTTAATCCAATGTGTGTCATGTTTCAATATGCTTCTTGCTTGTGAAGAGGTCTGTTTACAAGGCATTGTAAACTCTGTTTACTGCTAACCCAAGATATCTTTTCACCATGGAGCGGATTACTGTGCCTCTGCACTTAAATGATCTTATTTTTGTATTCACTTAATAAACGGGGCCCTGGACAGGCATATCTTGTTGCATTTCTGTTTTCATTCCTGCCCCTGCCAGTTCAGAAGCAGGCAAGTGGGCATTTGGGGCTTAAGCAAATTATCTCTACTTCAGTATTCCAGGTGTGGGGGCTCTGAAGACCTCGCTGGCAATACTGACATGTCACAGAAGATGCTGATCATCTTCCAGGTGCTGCTTCTGTAGTTTCAGAGCAGCATGCCGCCAGTCTCCCAGGTAGGCAGACCCATTCACTGCTTATTATCTTCCATGCATAGAGCATCAGGCTCTGTTTTGGTTTTTGCTCTGCATTTAGGACCAGCTCAGAGCTGTTAGCAATTTGGAAAACTTATTGCACATGCAGTTGCAGCTCATCTCATAAGATCTGCAGCTGAGAGAGTAAGAAAATACTTGATTTTTGGCAAGTATTCTTCAGAGATTAATCCATTTTACCTGAATGACATATACATACCAATAGCAAAATTACTGGATCAGGGTGCATTGTGGGATTTTTTTAACCAGATTGATAGCTTGTTTCTCACTTCAAATTAATTTGCTCTTCTTTAATCCTGCTTGCATATAATCTTGAGGCTGGTAATAGGCAAACCTCAGAGTCTGAGCGGTTGGGTTTTGGTTATTTATCCAAATTCTTTGGCTATCTAGAATTTGGTGGGAGTCTTTACCTTGGAAGAGGTTACTTTGTAGACTTCTTGTTCATCATCAAGCTGAAAGTGCTATGAGAACAGCACAAGCAGAAGCAGAGGGAAGGGGCTGTTTGAAAGAAATGGGTGGGAGGTGGTTTCCTGAATCTTGTCCAATACAAATTTTGAGGACAAAATTTCAGCAAGTAGAGTATGTTGAGGAAAGGGCAGAGATTGCTCTGGAAGTGATAGGACTTGGTTGTCAGGATCAGTGCTTTCACATGGACCACATCTGCTTGCCAGGAGGTCAGAGCACCTCTCGAGGTTGGGAGCTTGCCTCCTGGGAAGGGGGGAAGCACACGCCACAAAATTCATACGATATTTCCTGGAGGAAAAGAAAAAAAAAAAAAAAAAGCAAGGGACTGAATATTGTTGTATTTTAAGTTTATTTTAATTGATTTCTCCTCAGCAGGAGGAAACTGAACCCTGATTTCTGCCATCTTGCAGGAGCTGCCCATGCGCAGTGTCTGTGCAGCGAGGTGCTGGGAAGGGCCCCCAGCGTGCCGGGGTGGGTGCACTCCGCAGGGATGCTTGGGACGGTTTGCCTCTGCACCACTGTTCCCAGCTGTTAGCAAATGCCAGGGCAGATGCAGCTCTACAACCACAAAGTCCAGAGATTTATCTTTACATAGGGATCTCAGGTTTCACTTTAATTACAGGTGAGTCACTAACCACAGACCTAAGCATGTGGTCTTTGAGCTCTACTCCAGATACTGAGATAAGAGGTGTCTCCTCCCGAGTGAGGAGATGGGTGTTACCTCAGATTCAGCTCACTTCTTTTTCTCCTCATTTAGGCATCTCAGATAAATGCTTGTATTTCAATAGGGTGAATCTAGGCTATAGTGCTCTTCTTGTAATTCATCCCTGCCTATGTAAGTGAATTCCTGGCTGTAGGAAGTGCCTTTCTGCATAAAGGATCACTGTTGTATATATATATATATATATATATATTTATTTTTTTTAATTTTTTTTTATTTTTTTTTTTTAAGTTGCCTTTCCACAAAGGCAAACTATGATCATCAGACTTGTAATTGCTTATCCTAGGAATGGGGAAATTTTTGGATGAACTTTGCCTAACTGTGGCCTTTTGGTCTCTGTGTATCTCCTCATAGACCCAAAGTCGGACACCAGATTCTGTGGAGTGGAGTAGAATCTTGTGACGTTACATTGGTTTCTCTTTTATGAAGAAATGTTAGACTCCTATATTGACTTCTTGGAGGGGAGTAGGAAGGGAAGAGAAAGGAAGGGGGCATTACTTAAACAAAACTCTGACAGAGTTTTCTAATAACAGATACTTTCTAAGATTGGTTTATTAAAAACAAATAAAACCCTTTGGGGATAATTTAAGTGGGTATGATATAATTACAAGAGTTGGAATAGGGTTACAACTCTATTTACAAGAGTCTTAGGGAGTTTCTCATGGAGACAGTGAGAATATTACAACTACATCACGGCTAAAAGAAACCACCGCCATAAAAATCTCTGTGGCTTCTTAACAGGTCCTTACAGGAAGGTGAGTACTCATCAGAAGCTTGTTGCAGTTCCCACAGCTCTGGTATGTTTACATACAGGTCTCCTCTTCAGATACTGGCACAGCCTGTCTTTTTTGTTCTTATTTGAGTTACGGCACTTCCAGCTGTGAATTACTTTCTCAGCAGAAACTGAGCTTTTTAGTGTAAGGCTGAGCACCAGAGCAAGTCTTACCTCAATCTATTTCTGCACACAGGGTAGGTATCTTCATGCTTACCATAGAATCATGGAATGGCTTGGGTCGGAAGGGACCCTTAAAGGTCATTTAGCCCAACGCCTCTGCAATGCGCAGGAACGTCATCAGCTCGATCAGGTTGTTCAGAGCCCCATCCAACCTGACCTTGAATGTTTCCAGGGATGGGACATCTACCACCGCTCTGGGCAACCTCTGACAGTGTCTCACTACGTTCACTATAAAAAATGTCTTCCTTATATCTAGTCTGCATCTACCCTCTTTTAGTTTAAAACCATCACCCCCTGTCCTGTCACAGTGGTGCTCAAAGTGCAGTGCCAGATGGAGAAATGTCAAATAGGTTTTTCTTTGCATCCCAGTGGTTTCGTCTCGAATTAGCGCAGTTTAGGCATTAAAGAATAAAAATACTGGACTCAAGCTTGGCCTCTGGAAGTGAAGTGTGGTTTGGGGCTTGTACATTGAAATCCAATTGTAAAATTTTTCAGCTTTTCTGATTCTGTTTTGCATCTAGCTACTTGTGAGCATTGAAGGAGGAGAGCAGTGGGACTGTGGAAAGGGCAGCCCTCCAAAGGGCTCTTCTGTAGCAGTGGCTTGATACGCAAGTTGGAAGCAATTAGGATTTCTTCCCTTCTGGCTCTTTTTGTGTTGAGGATGACCACTAGCAAACATTCACTTGGTTATTTCTGCCTCCAACCCATTGTTTCTGTTTGGGCTAAAGCAAGCCTCCTAGAATGGCTTCGCTTGTTTTCCTGTAAATGGTGGAAAATCTATTGCATTTCATGGTGTAGTGTAGCAATAGTTAATCATGGGTAGGTTAGACAAGGAAATGCAACTCGTTTGAAAGTTTGCTTGCAGAATTCACAATATAACAATAGACGGGGTCCTACCAAGTTATCTAGAAGCCATCTGCCAGAGGACTGCCAAAACCAACATTCCGCTGCTGTGAAGCATAGCATATCTGACGCACATTGGGTTTCAACCTGTTGCATGGCCTCTTTCTCAATAAAACACAGGAATATCCTGAAATTAAATTTAGATTAGATTAATTCTAAATGCCACCTCCCTCTTATTTAATTGCCTGTATTAGAAGCATGTTGTTCTAGACAGCAGACAGAAAACAATGGAATATTAAAGCGTTTAAAGGAATAATAGGAATGAAGAACGTTTTGACTGCAAATGTGAGTTTGCAATGTGCCATGTGGTGTCCAGAGAACTGAGGAGCATCTGCAGAACTCCAAAGCATGACCTTTAAAACAGCTAATGCGTGGCGTCGGAAAACACCCAGGGAGCTCTGGAAACAGAGGTATTGTGGAATTGGTTTCTCTGGATTTGTCCGATGGCTGCTCATTTCTGGCTTCCAAAAAGGAAACCTGAGCCCTGCCCTGCTGAAGCATTTCTAAGGGCTTTTTCCACTGCAGGTTCTCTGGTATGCAGTAAAGGCAAGGGCGTATTGCAGCATCTTCCCTGGCCAGGGCAACTCTAGTTGTCTCCTTTCCATGGCCTCTAAGTCTCGTGGAACTTTGTTGCACTTGACTGAAGTTGACCCGTGAGCTCCAAAGCAGATGCTTTCATCCTGCACAAAGTATGGGCTCGTAACTTTGTGCTTTTCGAGAAGAAACCAGGCTGAACCACAGCAAAGCCTGGAGATGTAACAATTCTACCTGCTAGAAGACCTCAGCAGTTCAGGGTTAGGACTCTGATTTGACTTTTGGGTCTTGCTGGATAGCTAGTTCTAGTGGGCAAAGCTGGTCTGCACTACAGCATTTTGGGTCGACTTCCTTGTAGTTTCACGTTGTCAGACCTTGTTTTTCTGTGCTGGTGCTAGGCTGGGTAATGTGTTCAGAGCGGTCCTGCCTTGGCTGAGAGATGCCAGCAGGTTGTGCTGCGGGGCAGCTCTTCTGGAGCTTGGCTGTTCAGCCTCCCTCTGTCAGGGAAACCCCAAAGGGTCTGGGAAAAAGAGTCTCCGCCTGATCTGGGGCTTCATGGTTAGTCCTGGGTGACGTTCAACTTGTGCCTTGGCTGGAGTTATGTTTGAATTATGTTTGAAGGAGAGGTCCTTTGCGAGCACGCAGAACTTGCCCAACATCCTGCTG